CGGTCATCACCAAAGTGGGGTGCAGGCACAGGCCTACCACTTCCTTGCCAGTAGGTCGGTGATTTAAAAATATTTACTCATGGCGGGAGAACTGGGAAGAGAGGAGGATTGAGGCGAGGCTTGTGCTGCTGCCCATACGTTAAAAATGGTGAAATTCTGGGTGGCCGTTGTAAGTAAAAATGTACGGATCGGGTATATCATGTTAGGTACACGGTGAGAGCACTCAGGTGTGCTGGTGTAGCAGGGAGGATAAATCAAACCGCAGTTTGGCTGATAGACCAGCTTGTCTCTTCTAGAGAATTTCTTGCAAGTCTTTGTTTGCAGTTGAGATAGAGTTATTAGTGGCTGATTATGAGGTGACGTATAACAGGAAACACAGTCATGCCAATTGAGTTCTTGCAGCCTGCAATGAGATAGAAAGTAAAATGCGTTTGCTATGCATGTACGTTACCCTCTGTGTGTTTGCCACTTCTGCGCTAATATGTGCTTCTGCACTGATGTGTTTTTCACCGTCCCATTTGCCCTCAGCTCATTACAGCCCTTTTATCTTGGGAGTTTGCGTTCCAAATTATAGTAAAATTTCAAAAAAAGATGTGTACTTTTAAAATCCATTTAATTTATCTGCTGCACAGTAGTTCTGGTCCCTTGCCTTGCAGTGAAGATTCTTCTTTTCTGCCCAAACCTAGGCTAAGCCAGAGCCCAACGTGATTAATACTGGATCCTGCAGCCTGTGGTATCAGATTACTTGTAGAAGCAGTGTATTTGCAGAGATGGGTAATCCCCATACCCTCGTGAAACACGCACGTTTGTTTATAGGCTTAGGAGACAGAAAACGCTAGATTTTACCAGAGTGGTTGGTTGGGGATAGATCACCTGCTGTTGCTGTGCTGGGCAGAGGTTAGGCCTGGTCTTGAGCAGAGCAGTGATAATGAAGACACCTGATGAACAACCTGTCTTACACGCTTGTGGAAGAGAACTGTTGAAAAAGAGACGAGCCGTATTTGTGCTGCATGAGTGAGTTTCGTTCAGTGCTTTGCCGGGACGTGTAACTTGCTGGTGGCTTCACCAGCCCTCAGAAGTTGAGTTGTGCCAAAATAGCGCTAATAAAATCATCCTGCCGAGCAAAACTGTATTTTATATAGGTGTTACTTACAATATTTCTGGAATTGTGGACATAAATTTACATGAATTTTCATACTTTGGTGTCAAATATTTATTGTAGCAGCTACATTTTTCAAAGAGGTAGTGAGCTAACTAATTTCCTTTCCCTCCTTTGGGGACTATGAAAAGGATTTCAAAGGCATGCTTGTTCTTGAGAACAAGTCGAAATTGTTCTAAAATTGAAAAGCCTAAACTTAGCGTGTGATGTAAAAGCAAAACTGGATAGTAGATGGTCTTGTCTGCGTCGGGGGCTTTAAAAAGGTGTTTGCTGGTGCTGATTGTATTCCATTGATTTGGCCTCTGGAAATACCTTCTGCAGTCAGCAGGCTGTTTGCTGTAGGGCGTCCTTCTTCAGATGTGCAAGCTGAACCAGCTCGTGATACCGCTTCAGGTCTTTCTTAGACTGTCTTTCGTTTTAGCAGGTGGTCCTAAAGCACCTCCCGCTTTGGGTGCCGTGGGCCTGCCTGCGCTACGAGGCCGTCGCTCGCCAGCAGCCGTGGTGGCCGGCGTCCTGCGGAGCGTGGGCGCCAACTGCGCTGCCAGGCTTTGCCTCTGTTTGCGAACAGCGAGAGCCTGTCACGCTTCTTGGGTTGATCTTTTTCTTTTTAGCTTTTTGTTAGGAATTTGGTGCGCTCTTTAAAATTCTTTTCTCTGCAAGAGTAAGGAAGTATTGTAAAATTTCACTTAAACCCAGAAATTTAAAAATAAACAGTGTAGTTCTGGTGGTGGCTTAATAAAACAGCTGGGGGCTGTTGCCTTGAATATGGATCTATCACACCAGTGCGGAAAGAATTAAAAATGAAGAATTCCCATAAGACGAGATCAGAATTACTTTACAGTACTTGTGTTACAGGGCACTAACAGTGTTTCACGGTAAGAACACCTATATGGGGTCAGACAGCGCTGCTTGTGTTGGTGTCCAGGCCGTGGCTGGAGGCGGGAGCAAAGAAGGGAGTAAGAGGTTTTCATCTCTGGGAGGGCAGGATGAGGGAGCATCTCAGCCAGGATGAATGCGGCCCGATCGTGGTAATAGGGTGCGCACTGTTGTTCAGTGGCTGTTTCTCTTCAGCGTCACCCCTCGTTCCCATCGTGAGCACGGTGTTGTGTGGCTGTCTGAAGTGTACAGCACCTCAAACTCGGTCTGCTGCACACGCCTGCGCTGGATTTGAGCAGACAATTTAATGTAATCTGACCGAGTGCCTGGGGTCAGGAAGACTCAACGGTTTTTAAAGGAGGTGTTTTTCTTATATCGTTCATAAAGGTGCTCTCTGCCTCCAAGAGGAGTCAGAATCCATACTGGTTTATGACGAATTAATATAGTTTTCATGCAGCGTCCTGGGATGAAGAAGTCCTGTTGTTGCTGAAAACCAGCATGGGGTTCTTTGGTTGGTATACATTAATTTTTTATTTTCCTTTTTAAAAAAAACCCAACAATAATACAGGAATGAGAGAGGGATGAGTGGAAGAGACACTGTAGTGCTTGGCAGCAGTGCTGAGGAGAAGGAGGTTCGGGGGGTGTTCACCCGTGCAGTCAAACAGCGACTCGGTCACTTCACGCTGTTTGTACAGGAACGCACGTTTTGTCGGGTACGAATGTGGGTACTTGCTAATATTCATTAGGGAAGAGGGGTTTCCTAGGCCTTTGAACTTTAGGGAAGAAGATTCTCTCATCTCCATCCTTTCTCTCCTCTCTTGTCTCTCCACCTCTGCTCCCTGCCATAAATCTCTAAATAGCAAAACAAAGCCATCATGGGGAATACTTTGCTTTAAGTGGTGAGGGTTTTTCTTCAAGAGATTTGGCTTTTATGAAACACCTCCCTCCCACTGCCATCCTTTCTCTTCCCACGCAGCAGACTGGGGGGATGCCCCTCCTCCACGCAGAAGAACCAGTTCCTTTTAGCTCTTTCCACCTTTTAAATCCCAAACCGTATTGTGCCCATGATCAAAATGCTGCGAGTGCAGAGATGGCTCAATGAACCTGTAACTGCCTTGGTTGGGCGAAGTGGCGCCGTACACGTGTAACTGGTTGAAGAAGCAGGATCCCTCCCTCGCCCCCTTTGGGCACATGTTCCCTGCCTGCTGCCCTGGCTTTCTTCAGTTTAAAGAATGGGAAACTTCAGTTCTTTAGGTTTTCACGAGAAAACTGTCTTACACCAGACCTTACGTGGCACGCCCATCTGAAAATCCAGTAATTAAGAAAAGAAAATAATTGAATAAAAAGACCTCTCTTGTTGACACGCTCTCTTTAATCAGGTCTGATTTATGAAAAACCACTAAACATTTTTTCCCATAAGTTAGGCAGTGCCTTTACAATTATTTTAGGGAGCAAGAATTCTTACACTAGGGCACACTAAGGACAGTGCTAGGATCTGAGACCAGTTTTGTGCACAAACCTTGGGCAAAAGCCTGACTCCAGGAACTTTGCGTAAGGCTCCCAGGCCCCGTACCAATGATGTATGCCTCCTGGGGGGTGAACTCCTTCAGGGGCTTCAGATGTCTGTTAGTGAGCTCTTTAGGATTATTAAATAATGTAGAGATGTTAAACCGTAGAATATTGCGTCTGTTCTCCATGCTCCATTTTTGGAAGGATGCTCCCGGCGGCAGCACGGGTGACGTATTTTACTTTTAAACCTGGAATACGCTGATCCGTGGTTTGAGAAAATACTGGTTTTCTTCTTTTTTTTTCATATTTTTCTTCATATTTTAAACGTGAAAGCTACGCAAACAGCTAATATTATTCCAGAATTGAATGCTACAGCTTTAAGATAAGGTGCCGGGGCGCTTAGCGCACACAGCCGGCTCCTCCCGTTCGGAGGGTTTTTTTTTTTTCTCACGCTGAAAATAACCCACCGTATTCATGATAAGAGATTTTTTTTTTTTCCCTTTTTCCCCCCTCTCCGAAATCCACCAAAACTGAAGAAAAATCTAAGTGACTGTTCTTAGCAGCTGTGTGGCCCGGAGTTCAGTGGGGAAGCGGCTTCCTGCCGTCCCTATTCATCACCTGCTTCAAAGGCAGGCTGGCTGCTCCAGTGTGCAGGCCAGGTAGGGTGCCATTGTGCGCAGGCGGGGAGGATTAGTATCAAAGCTGCGGCAACCAGGCCCTTGGTCTCGGGCTGCCATTCAGTCTAGCGGGGAGAGGCTAAGACTGGCCAAGGTCACCGCATCCAGTGTGGTGTGGACTGGGAAAGGATCCTGAGAATAGAGGGCTTCTTATGAAATCATGGTGCAGGCTTGCAGCACAGCAGGTGCCCTTCTGGAACACATACATCTGTTTATGTTGGGATAGCGTAGCTGACAACGGGATAATAGAGCTTTGTTTTTTATAATTTTCTTTCTTTTTTTATTAAAAAAAAAAGGCAACTCTGTACGACAGCGTCGAGGAATATCGAAGAGCTTTCGCTTTGGAAATCATAGAGAAATCTTTAAAAGATTAAATTGCTGGGGTGGGGGGGTTGTGTGTGTATGCTTAAGTGAAGGGGAGAGCAGGCTGCCTATTAACCATTTAGGATCCTCAGCCCTGCTGCTGAGCCGCAGCGGGATATGGGGGGGGGAACCGTACACCGAATGCGACGATGCAATTTTTTTTTTCTTGTACGCTCCGACATTTGTACCAACAAATTGGTTAAGGATGCGCTGGATTTGCTCGGTTGTCTCCATTGTTGGAATCATCTGGAGGAATTCTGTCATGCTAACGGTGGCTTTTTAAAAGGTGAGGTAATAGTGACGTAAAAACAAAATTGCTAACTTGATGAAATTAAGGGGAAAATTAAGCTGTAGACGAGTTGTCATGACGACAAGGATGTTCTATTGATGAACTGTACTCCTCACTGTCCAATCAGATAGTGGAGCTGAAGCTGGAGCATGAACAGGAGAAGACGCACCTATTCCAGCAGCACAACGCAGAGAAGGACTGCCTGGTCCGAGACCATGAACGGGAAATCGAGAAACTGGGAAAACAGCTTCGCGCTACCATGGCAGAGCACGAGAGTAAAATTCAAGAATGCAGGAAACGAGAGGGACAGGTAATGATCAATAATGTTTGAAAGGCGTATGCTTATTAGAAAATGCTAATAATTAGTGTTTCCTGTTTGCCAGCATTGTTGGTGATGCACGCTGTGTGAGCAATTGCGAAACTGGCACATAAACGTGATTTTGGTTTTCTTTTTTCTTTTTCTTTTTTTTTTTTTCCGCTTCCCCCCTCCCTTCCCACTGCTGAATAGGGCTTTAACTGCAAAAACCACAGGTAGCCAGATTAAAAATCCCATGGTGCGCTATAACTTGGCCTATTTATAATCTTGTCTCATTTTCTTTCATAATGGATTTGTTTAAGAAAAAAAAGGTATCTGTTCCTCTCTTCCCCCAGCCCTCACACTCACCCCTCCTTTTCTCCTTCCTGGGCAAATCCATATGAATTATATCTGCTTCGTTCGCATGCTTTTTTTGTTTTAAATCTCTGCAGGTAACTCACAAATGGCTTTATTTCATTTTGTTCATGTCTTTTTGTTTCAGTTTTGTATTCTAGATTTGCATTGTGTGTTTGGCTACGTATGTCGGGCATTTGATAAGACGATGTGGGTTTGGGGTTGCTTACCATCACGTTTATTTTCCTACACACACACGTACCCCTCCCATCCTCCATCTCTGTGGTCACTGTTGGAAGCCATTTGGCAGAATAACCCCCAGCTGGGGTAGCATTTGACTCTTCAAACTTCTGGATGAAATGCGCACTGTCAGCATGGAAAATGATCTTTATGAGTTTTCAGTTCAAAAAACATCTTATTGCATTTTTTCAATATATTTTGTAAGGACGGCATGGTGTATTTTCCTAAGAGCCTACGTTAAAAAGGCCTGCCATGACAATATTTAAAAATTTAAGGTGATTGTGTAGTTTAAAGAGTATTCAGAAAATAATCTTTCCTAATCAGCATTAGAATTACTTATCATGCATGGATTATTTTATACCAAAACTAGGCATTTTGGTAAGGCATCTTTTAATGACTTGTTTTCCGCGCACCACCGCCTTCCCTAGGAGATGTAAGACGCTGACATGGAGGCATTTTCACTTTCCTGTAGGCTGCGTCTTTTACTGGCAACTCTAATGTAGCTAAGTGAAACTGAATATTTAAGTTTTAAATTTGCTTTTTTATTACCTTTGGACAACTCGGACTCTATCGCAATCTGGCTTGAGTACATCTGTTTGTAAACAAGCGGCTGGATGGGGTAGGCAAGGGATATATTGCAGAGCCAGGACTTATTTCTCCATTTCCACCATTATGGTTTTCCAAGGAAAGCGAGAGATGGTTTTGTGAGAACACTTGGGAAGAGGATATTCAGGTGCCTTCTGAAAAATTAAACTTTGCCCTTTATTTCCCACTGTATTGTAAAAGTGAACAAAGACTTAAATTGTTAAAGGGATTGGGTTTTATCTCTGCGTTTCTTGCTTTGGCCCAAGATGGATGCGTATGTATGACGATTAGGGAGTGCCTTTTCAAAGTTGTACCGTCCTCTCACCTGCTTTCCTGATGTCGTGTTTGCGTACGAAGGCAGAGCTGTAGCTCGCAGGTTAAAAGCACCGTTTCAGAGTTGTATGGAATTGCTCTGTCTACACGACAGCGTTCACTGCCATTGCTGTCTTGCTCTTTATAGCACTGACGACGAGGGTGAAGGGACTGTCTGAAATTCAGGAGTCTGGCAGGTGCCTTGTAAGTCTCTCTCTCATGCTGTTGTGGGTCATTGTTGGCAAAGGTTGGAGCTCAGACTTTGGTTGTGCTCTCTCCCTGCAGTGGGTTATAAATGCTACTACAGGTGCTGTGTAGAGAGCTGGAAATTAGTGCAGCTATTAGGAAAATCTGAACGCTGAGGAGCACAAACTTTGGCCTTTTTACAGGGCTTTTCTTTGTAGATTGAATATCCCTGTACAGTCATTTGAACATTGCTGCCATGAGAACGACATGTAAATCAGGGAGGAACATGCGGTTGCCCTTGACTGTAAGAGCTGTTGTTTATTTAAATTCTAGTAAGACTCTATCAGCTTTCAAGGGCACGGTTTATGTCCATTCTGCAAAATAAATCGTTCTTCCTTTTTCCTCTGGTCCTTTTGTTGGAATTCACTTTTGTCTTTGCAGTGAGCTCAACAGGCAGTACTGGTGTTTCTTACGGAATGATGGCACGTATTTTTAATAAAATTTATTAATCTTTGCATATGTTTATTGAAGTGCGTATTTTGGGCATCTGATGTGACTGATGGCCAATGTCCTTTATGAAACATTTGGCAGTCTCTTAACAAAGAAATCGCATGATTCTATGACTTCATGTAGACGTAGAATTTAAAAACCTTTTAAATTTGAACCATGTTTGACATTAGGACTGATTAATGTTACGGCGAAGGTGCGATGAAACAGGAGAAGAGGCCATTTTGCTTCACTAAATGAAAAGTAGATTTGCTGGGTGTTTAAGAAAATTTGAATAATAATTAGTGTCAATCGCATACGAGTAGCTTGGTTTGAAGGACCTATCTGCTCAGTGTTTGGTGAGGGATGTGAAAGCACCGTTATTAGAGGTGTTCGCTGTTATTCTTTCTTAAATCCTTTTAAGAAAGGAATACGTGTTTCTTTCTGTATTGCAAAGGCAGCTATGAGTAATGCAGAACAATTTACTATTACTGAAAAGATGAATTTTTTTAATTTCATATCCAAGGTCTCTAGTATCATGTAGGTCTTAAGCTACTGTGAAAAATAATATACTAAATGGTTAGATTTTATCCTAATATTAATACATTTTTAGTGCTTTAATCAGAACTATTAAAATTAATATTTCAGTGCATTGCCAGATTTTAATAAAATATAAAATAATGTTACTGCTACTTTGAAATGGAAGTTTAAGATGTTTCCAGGAAAGGAACCTGATTTAAGTGGATCACCTCTCGTACTGCTGATGAATTTCTGGATAACAATTGCCTTCCACTTTAGCTCTTGGGTTTATCCATTCCTAGGAGGCTTGCTTTGATTTTTTCACCTAGGGTTGTAATGCTTGGGGAGGAGTAAATTGACATGTAGGTCAATAAAAGTCAAAGCAGTACAAAGGCTTTTATACCATGCTGTGTTCTTGTAGTCTTTTAAATCCTATACGTTTTCTGTGAACTGCCATAATATTGTTATTCTTCAAATAGTAGCTAATAATGCAGGATTTTTTAAAGGGTAGTTTTGAGTCACTACTTTTATTTAATTTAGTTTTTTTTAATATTATCAGGATTTTCTTTAAGACAATTTTTAAGCTGCAGTTTGGTCGGTCATTCATTTGCCACCTCCCTAAATAATTTTAGTTTATACATTAGTTGACAAAAAACCTCCTTGGGTGACAGATCTTCTGTTTTGATAAAAACAGCCTTGCTATTGAATTGACAATTTTCTGAAGCGAGACTTCTGATTACAGAGAATAATACGTCTGGTTTGCTTCTGCGAAATAAGATAGCAAGGTTAGGAAATTGTCTTAACCAGTGCCCGTTGGGCTGTGGTGCCAGTAGTATCCTTATATTTTCCCTTTCTCCTGCGAATGTCATTCTCTCCCCAGCATGTGACACGTGCCCTCAACCAGCTCAAAGATTTCCATGTTCCAGCTGCCGTACAAAGTTGGGTCATTTTCGTGCTTGTTCTTTGACCGTTGACCTTCGGGCAAGAAGAAGAAAAAAATGTGCCCCTGTAACTTCAAAAGTAGTGCTTTACACTAAAGCGAGAGGAAAAAGGTTTCCGTGAGGAAATGGAATTCTCTTTCCAGGTTCTGTTACGAGATAATTGGCAAGTCCACTGTTCTCATCCATCCGTAATTGGGTCAAGAGTAGCTCCAGCGCTGAGGCACGTTCTGTCAGTACTTGTCACTGGTGCCGCAGTATTTAATTTCAGCGTCTACTGTTTATGCTCTCAAAAACGAGGCAGCCTGAAGAGGAGATCACTGGCGTTTGGGGGTGTCTTAGGGCTCTCGATAAACCGTTACCAGTTGGGAAAAGAAAACCTCGAGCAGTTCTGAAGTCAGTGTGAACCCGCAGACACTGAGGATGGAGGTTGTTTCCAACAACAAAGAAGGCAGGCTGGAGGAGGTGAGAAGACCTAATGAGGGATTTTCCCGTGGCCAAAGTATCCGTTTCCTTTTTCCCCTCTTGCTGTTTGCACTTCCTGCAGTCCCCTTGGCCTTTACCATCCCTGTTTGCTCTACCTTCTCAGAAATTGCTGGCTCCTTCCCTGGGGCCCAATGTGTAGGACATCCTATCACGGCTCTTCTGGCTTCTCCCCTTTGAAAATAGGGCTTTGTGCTTGTAAACTGATATTTCTGCAACCGTTGCTTCGCACCTGGTTTTGTCCGAATGAGTTCTGAGGAGCTTGAGCCAGTTAACAGTTAAAAAAACCAAACCCAAAACACTAATGATCATTAATTCCAGCACCAATCACTATTTTCATTCCAGCAAATGCTTGGTGTGTGTTTATGATGCTGTGTAGGTAATCGTGGTATCAGTGAAGGGGGGGGAACCCAAGAGACTTGTCTCCATATATGTGGCCAGCGTGAAGGGGTGCTGTGCTGATCCGATGGAGGGCTCGATCAACCACTGGCAAGACACAGGGAAGTAAACAGAAATATTGTATACTTGTTTAATGACAACTGAATAACACATGCACAATTTCTGTCTGCATGTTGCTGCTGTAACAGTAGCTTTCCAGTACTGTACGAATACAGAATAATCTCAGGAGCATTTGTTTGACAATAGGAGACTTTTTAAAACTTTGATGTGAAAGAACCTATTGTTACTGTGCAGATAAATCACTAATCAACTCCTCTGCTTCATGTAATTGTTCTAGTATCTCCAAACACCAGTTTCCGCAGGGTTATTCTTCTAGTATCAGTGGAAGCAGTTTGCTTGATTGTGTCTGGAGGGTACAGATAGGTGTAGCCTGTGAAACATTCAGATGTGGATGGTGCTACTAAAGTCACTTCTGTATACAATTCTGAGTAAATAAATTCTATGCCTCATTTT